TCCTACTGGATTTTACAAAAGCCTTTGATACTATTAATCATAGACTGTTGATTGCCAAGTGTCGGTATATGGGATTTGTTGACAAAACGTTAGGCTTTTTTGAGTGGTATCTATATAACAGGCGTCAAAAAGTTCTGTTGCAGGGCCGGCTATCAACTACTCTAGATATTTCATCAGGGGCACGACAGGGTTCAGTATTGGGTCCATTATTGTTTTTGATTTATACAGCAGATTTGGGTAGTGTAGTTGCGCAGTGCCAAGTACATTTTTTTGCCGATGATACGCAATTGTTCCATAGTTTCGAACGCGACCGTTGCGAGGAGGCAGTGAACAGCATAAATAAGGATTTGGAAAACATAGTCACCTTTACGGAGGGTCATAATTTACGTTTAAATCCATCAAAGTGTAGTGTCATTATTTTTGCCCCTAAGAGGAAAAGAAACAGTTTGAAGTCCAAAATGAAATTATACGTTGACAACAATCTTATTCAAGTTGTAGAATTTGTTAAAAATTTGGGTCTATATATTGACGAGAATATGAAATTCCTGATTCGTGTTAAGCACATCTCCAAACGATGTTATATGAGTTTAAAATTGTTATATTCAAATAGAGATATATTGTCCTACGATATGAAACTACAGTTGCGTCAAAGTCTTATCTGTTCTCGCTTGTCTTATTGTAACACTGTGTATTACCTGTTTGGACGCTGTTACATCTTATCGTCTACAAAAAATCCAAAATACTTGTTCTCGCTTTATTTTTAACCTACGCAAGTTTGACCACATATCCGTCGCTCTCAAAAGATTGAATTGGTTAAAAATCAAAGATGTTTTCAAATACAACTTTTTATACTGTTTGAAACGTGTAATAAATTCCAACATTCCAAAATATTTGAATGACAAATTAGTATTTAGGAAATCCATTTATGTCTTGAATCTAAGACACCAATCATCACTCACTATGCCATTGCACAAAACAAACAAAAATCAATGTTCTTTTACATATAATGCCGTAAGACAACTCCTTAAATAGCGTCCTCAAATCAGAGTTAAAAATTTTAGCTTACATTTAAAAAATAGTTGTTCACATTTGATAAAGACATGGTGTTGTGGAAACAATTGTCATGACAAAATATATAATTTCGTGAAAATCTGAACTTTTAGTTCTTATTTATTTTGATAAATGGATTTTCATCAAGTAAAAGCCTCCTCAGTTCAATTTTGTGTTATCCATTCTGACGATCATATCAGTGAATGTATTCGTGTTGTTTTGCAAAAATATACCCAAAAACAAACGGTCATAGAAAAAGTATAATATGCAAAACATTTGGTAAACATTCTGTCACTCGTTTAGCTTGTGACAAATAAACTCGTGATTCAAATGCGGTTTACCATACTTGTTGCGTAATATACCATTATTTTCGACATTGACTAGACATTGAGCGAAGTGCCCACTTTTCTCGAAGTTTATCGGAAGATTTGTGAATCATACTGGCGACAGGAAAGAAATAAATATTTTTTGAGGAGTATCAATTGACGAAAGATAAAACATTATTAGTATTCAAGAGTGCAAATCGCGGATAAAAACAAATACTAAATTATACTAGACTGTAACCCATTTGATCCATTGAATCCACTGAACAACAGAATAACAGAAACTAACTAAATACTTGTTTATTTCTACACACAAGTGTAGTACGGATTTTGTACATTGCTAGTAATATATACACGATTTTTTGGATGAGTTTTGGTGTTCGCGCGACCTGGCGAAACAAAATATTATCCTTTCGCGATGGCGTGTCTTAACTCTTCGGTGCGTTTCATCGTTAAACAGTTTTCCGCCATGTCCACCTTTAGGCCGCCCCCTCCGGCGCCACATAATTCACGCGCACCGCAATTCTCTAATTACACGGCGTTTACTACGAAATATGAGACATAAATAACGGGCCCGAATGCTCACACTGTCCGATTTATGTCCTTGCGGCACTTCACCGACTGGCCCACAAACGACACTTTTTAGACACTAATTGTTAACACCGCCACGCGATATATTACAGGTTAAACATGTACCCGCTGTAGTACGTCGGGAAATTGTTCGGGGGCTACGGGTGCATTTGCTTTTTGCCGATTTATATTCCGTCTGTACGTACCGAAAACGGCAAAAGCTACATCAAGGTTTTAGCAATTGATAATTATAACAAATTGAGTCATTGATTCAGAAAAACAAATAATTATAATTAAACTATTATTGGGTATCTACGAAACGTTTCACAAAGTTCTGATATAACATAAATAATATTCTATAAAATAAATTATTCTCGGAGAAAAAATAATTTAAATTTCTTCTTCAATATTTTAGGAAACCACCTGGATAAGATAGTTACTTTACTCTTACACCTTCCATTTTTAATGTAACGGCTGCAGATTGAAAGATATAAAAAATCATAGGGAAACATGATTTTGAGGTTTACTGAATTTTCCCAATAAATTGAGAGGGAGGAGATTTCTCACCTAATTTTAAGATGAAAATGTGGCATGATTTTTTTTGGAATGTCGCTGCGTTTTCGAAAGACGTACATAAATTTTACAATTAATTAGTTTCACATGATATTCCAGTGATATTTGGTACAAATATTAATGAGTAGTATTCAGCATTGAATATTAATATTAATAAATGATGAATATACGCAAAATAATCCGTCTCTAAACAAATTGGATACATCGATAACAAACGTGTCTAAAACTAGCACTTACCTACATTTAACTATATTCAGTTAACTCAGAGATTCTCAATAATTTATCAAAGTAATGATAATTATTATTGATATACCTAACATAATTAAAACGACATGAACAATTAATATGATTGCTTATTCTAAAGCCGTAAGAGGTACGAGAAAAATGCAAGAAACGTAATTTACTAAAAACTAAATTTTTACGTTATATAATATTTAACAGGCTCCTGTTATTTTTTTTGAGAAGTTACGATGCTCATTATGTATAACAAATAATTAATAATGAAAGGAATACGTATGAAATTTATTTTTTAACATCCCTTAATTCGAAAACGAAGCGTCATTCCAAAAAAGTTTGTACTATATGTTCGTTTTAAAATTAGGTGAGAATTATCCTCCTTCCCTTTGTTGTTCAGGTACATTTTTTAGGAGGTATTATGGAAAATATTTTTCTATTTACCTTCTAGAAACTATTTTCAGATGTACGAAACACGAATGGCGAATGGGCGTAAAAAGTCAACTTTTTTCAACATCTTTATTGAAACTATATCGAAAAATAGACCATCAGTACTTTACTGAGATGCCATTACATTAGGAGTACAATATATACCAAATATACCAATGGAAATTACTTAATAGTATACAATAGTATATAATAGTAAAATAAGATATCGCTCAGGCACGTGCAGTTTTATATTATTTCTAGAAGACACGAAATATGGATTTTTTTTTATACAATTGTTCTGGAGGTAGCAAAGATTTTTCTGATGTTTGATGTGTGTACAAGTTGTACAAATAATCTAGTATTACGTTTAAATTACCTGCTGTGAGGACGTATTAACTGGGAAAACAAATAAATTTCTGATTATCAGACCCATGCATGCGCTGGGTTAAGTCAAATCGGTTTCTATTTAGAGCTCAACATCACTTTCTCGAGGTATAATATCAGTATAGGTAAAACTTTTAAAATTATTAGTGGTTTCTGATACTCGGAATAAATATGGCGAAAAACGATAAGCATGATTTCAACAAAAATAAAAATATTCGGTGGTCTTGAAGACGTCCATGCATCTCATTCGGACGGCGACTACGGAAAGAATGGACGTAGGAATTTCGAATTTACGATCACGTGGCCGCGGGCTTAAAAGTTGCCATAAATCGCACATCGCGTCGACTGCGGTAAAATCCGCCCGTAGAGATTGGCATCTTTGACTCTGACGCTCCCCTTCAGTTGTGGGATGAAACGAACATCAGATCTTTGCACTGTCGACGATTGCGATTAAAATGTTTCCAGAAAGATATCGATCTTACAATGCTACACAATTGTCAAACATCAGCTTATCTTACTTATCGAGCTACGTACTAGCGTTGTTGCAGTCGGCACCGGGCAAATTAGACACTTAGGTAAAACATATGCCATGTAACATTAAAAATATTTTAAAATTATGCAAACATCTGAAACTATATTCTTTAATCTGCTCTGATAAGTGCTCAGAACTATAAATAAACTTAATTCAAACAAAATACCCTGAAGGTTAGTGCTTCTTTCAAAACTATTTTCAAATGAAATTAATTTCAAATTATGAATCTGCATTGCTAATTACTATGTATTACTAACCTAACATAATAGTGATAAAAAAATATATTTAAAGAATTACGTTACGATTTAAAGATACTCGAAAAAATTTAATTGAAACTTATTCGATATGTTAAATTAAACGATGTTTTGAGCGAACCATGCAATGCTGAATTTGGAGTCCGCCAAACAATATTCTAGGTGCAATATTGTTTTTAATGTACATAAATGAAGGAGGAAATAGAACCATAAATTTCGAAAAGATCCCTTAATAGCTTTGAAAATATATATGAAATTCGAATGAAAACATTTATGCCTAAATTACATCAAAAATAGATAATTACATACCCAGCACAAAAAGAAAAAACATTTTAATTTTTATTATTTAATGTTAAATATTTTTTGCTTTCCTTTACTTCGCAAATTTTGGAATTAAAAAATTGCAATTTGGAAGAACTGCATTTAAACAAGCCGATGTCTTAGCTTTGAGGTTTTTTCTGCACTCAACAAATTTGTCTGATTACTTTTGAGGAATATCTTAATACTGTCAGGAGCAAAAATATTGCACTATATTGCGTAAATTAACTGATAAAAATGCGACATTTAAAATAGTCTACTAATCTGAAATAAATGAAAGTCATAAATAAAAGCGAAAATAAGGCTTTTTTAGAGAAATTTTTTTGTTTGCAGATTCACCCTTCAACAGCATATGCTGGTGCATACCGGCAAGTTATGCAAATGCCCTGAAATTGGTTGTTTTTATAAGGCGAGAAAATTAAGCGAAATCAAGGAGCATTTTAGGACTCACTGCGAAGCTAGGGAGTTTTGCTGCAATTTGTGCGACTACAAGGGAAAAACAAAAAGCCAATTGAAAAGGTAATGCGCAAGCAAATTTTTTCTCCATTGATAATATTGTTTTTTTACCTAAACACTCCAGGGATTAACGAGATTTGTTGTCAAACTTCCTAATTTTATGCTACTTGACTAGCTTTTTTTTTTGTGGGTATCTGCATTTAGCCATACTGACTTTTCTTTAACAGCTTGTTTTAACACTTCCATTTCGGAACAGCTCGTTTGTCTTCTGAGTCGACTTTACATAGTTGCTTGTCAGCGTGTGTATATTTGTGAGTTGTTGATACAATTGTTGCGAATTAAAATTATTCCGGTCTAACCGACAATTTAAAAGCAAGAACCGCGGCGAACATAGTATCGGCTTCGCATTTCCAGCGACCTCATCAGCATAACGCACGGTGAAGATGGCGGTGAAGACGGGGGGACCGTCATTACCACCAATTTAAAATCAATTCTCACGGTTTAGGCTGTCCGGATAAAAAGTCATATACGCGCCAGAACAACGTCCGAACACCGCGTTATAAATTAAGTTCCGGTTCGACGTTGCCGGGCCGTCTTAATTGACGTTTCGGTGAGTTTCGAGCGTGTAATTAGGGCCGTTATCTCGATTTGAAATCGGGGCTCGCGTCTTGTCGCTCTGCCCCGACGTTGGACTTTATTGTTACGGCGTCTCGCAGGAACGCGCTATCGCCGACAATTTACGAATTCAAACGCGTAGATATGTGCCGGTCGGCAACGGATCGAAATTTAAAACTAGATTTAATCCAGTTTCTGGAGAACTATATATCTAAAATTGTTAGAAAGTACTTATTATTTGCGAATTTATTCACCTGTGGCACGGCTAATGGTAAACAAACTTGACTCTTTGCTAATGTTACCTTTGAAATTTTACCAGCTCATTCTACCTGCACAAGCAATAATAAAGCATTACACAGGTTTACAAAATTAAACTTTTTGACAGACTATTTTTAAAACTGATTTTATATAATTTCGCATAAATTCACATAAAAATCAATTCATTTAATGCCTAACCTGGAGCAAACATATTCATGTCATAGGTATGTATACCAATAAAATAACATTTTTAAGTTATAGAGTGCTAAAAAAAATGACGTGATAGATCAAAAATATAGCGTTTTTTGGAAAAAGGGTCCCAAAAAATATACAAGTAAACAAACTGCTTCCAAACATCAAATTCACTGTAGACCTGTGTTTACCAGTTTACCAGTTTTTGAGGTGTGTAGTTAGTGGAAAATGACGCAAGAATTACGTCCTTAAGGCACAGACGGAAGTTGGTGATCGCGTTGATGAATGCGCATTCAAAAACGTACATGCACGAATGTTAGTGTGTATGCAGAAGAACATCACATATTTGGTGCATACTCATTCTCACACGATCTCTCGATTTGCTACGTGGAAGACGTTAGTATTGTAATAGGCTACTTGCACGTACATTTTTAATTGCTAGAAATGTTCATATACTGAGAGTGAGAGTGAAATTTTGCATGGTTTTAAAAACTACTCCAGATAGAGGCAATTTCAGATACTCGAAATATACCAGCGTTTTCCAAGAATAGAATTCCAGAGCTATTGTTAGTGTGTTGCTTATTTTTCTGTAATTGAAAAAGCTCACCACTCTAAATATAAGAACAGGCGTAATACGCTAGAAATATTTGCAAATAGAGTCCAGTCGCATTCGAATTTTGAATCGACGTAGAGCTCGCAAAAATCGATAAAATCGGTTGTGACATCACATTGTCAAGCGGACGAAGCTAGAACACATAACTTACAACCTATATCCCACGTGATGTTACCAGGCGTTTTTGTGTGACGTCATATGTAAAGGGCTCTGGGTGAACCTTCAGTCTCCAATTTTAATTTAAATAATTGTCAGCTAGACTTCAGAATGTAATTAAAAAATGATTTATAAATATTTTTTTTCCCAAATTTAACATGCATGCAATGGGCCTATTAGTATTAGTCTAATAGCAAGCAATTAAGACAAAGTCAACGACAGAGGTCGAAAGCCAATGGCTGCTAAACATAACTGAATATCTACTGCTAGGCGCTGGCTGTTCATCTCTTTCAAAAGCGGATTGGAACTTTCGGTTAATATAATAAATTTAACAAGTGGAATTGGCAGTATCGAAAAGCAGCAAAGTACTTAGTACAGATAATCTTAAGCGCCCTTCCTATTCTATAAAATTTAAAATTCGTCGAAATCTCCTGAAGTGGCTAAAGGGAAGAAAGTGCCTGCGAACTCTATTTTTGCACCCTATACAATATATTTCAATTGATTTACTTTTTATTTATTAATCACTGCAAATTTTATGCTGCCATTTCAAGAATACACTGTCCCAAATTTTCACCAAACACCAATTAACTCTCTCGTCTGCTTTGGCAAGAATTAGCACTCTGGTGTTGCTCGGATCTCACAGCAGGACACTGATCTTTGTGCAATAAATGATATATATCACAGCATTTATCAGACAATTTCTCACTTTTCATTGGCGAGTTTTTGGGCACCCTATGGTTTATATAGTCTATTCGATGTCAACTGAAGCAGCATAAAACGTAGCATTATCTTATTTATTATTCGAAACCAATAATATTTATTTTGTTTATATCAATGTGTCAAACTAATCACTTTTGATAACATACCGATTTTCTACTTACAGTATTATAGTCACTTGGTTGACACACCAATATACATAATACTTGAGAGTTCTTCCATATTAACAGAGGAATCAAAAAACATGCAAAATATAGCGTATTTGTTTTAAATTTCCAACTTCTTGATATTTAAATTTTTGCTACGGAGAGCAAGTAAATATAATGCTCTAGAAATTTGAAAAATAGGTTCAATATAGACCAATTTTTCTATTGACCCCAACATTGTATACCTACTTTGCTTTCGGATTTCGCTAACTCCTTTGATAACCTCCTCGCACTTTTCAGGCACTTGAACATTCACGACGAAATAAAGAAGTTTCAATGCAATATATGCCCGTTTACAGCTCGCACTGCTGCTCATTTGAAGAGGCACGCCCGGCTACATACTGGTGCTAAGCCCTACAATTGCCCACACTGCGACTACAAGTGCAACACTTTGGTAAACCCGTGCTTGAAATAATATTTGATGGGAATTCTGTAAAATGTTCGTGTCATCTTTAGGAAAACTTACGAAAGCATGTTCTGTCCACTACCAAGCACCCAGGCAAAAGTGTTTACGAATGCAAGTTTTGCGTCGGAGGATCCCAATTTCAAGTTAACTTTGCTAAAGAGTTTAAGAATCACCTTATGGTGAGTCACTCGGAGGTATTCGGTAATGGAAAGGATGCTGCTAGTTACATAGCCGGAATCTATAAGGCACAAGAGGACAGCACTTATCTGACGGATATCATCGACACCATGGATGATAGGCAGAATGAAAGGTAATGTTAAGATATTGCTTATAATATATTATGATTTAAAAATTCAAAGAATGCTTAGCAGTATTAATATAGACTTCTTATATTCATATCTGGCACTCCACTAAGAAACAAACTTACAATACTCTTTTAATCTTCCATTTTGAGGAATAAATATTTAAAAGGTTGTTCATATATAGTTTTGTTTAAAACTCATTGTGTTTATATAAGTCTAAATCACGTAGTAGTGCTAATTTGATGCCTAATACGTGCATGGTGTTACAAATAAATAGGTCAATTTTTCGAAGAAAATTCCACAGGCTACTTAATACTATTTACAAATCTTCTGGATTCCTCCCGCGTCGGTTGTTGATGATGATGTCAATTAATTTGCAAAAGACAAATTTATGTTGTTTGTCAAAAGTTGTAACACAGAGTCAGATAAGTAAAAATATCGCATAAAAGAAGCTACAAATCAATTTGTACTGTAGAGAAGAAAATACAACGGCCATACATGTTTGTCAGAAAACATAGGTGGGTTTAATGGAAAGTGCAAAATGGAAGGTCCCATCATTTAAGCCAAAAGAATTATATGTAACGGATTGACCTACTTTTTTGTATAAGCATTGACATTTCGTGCGATTAGTTTAATTTAGTTTCTATTTGATAACATATTCCTTCTGTAGTTTCTTTCTGATAAAAGTTTTTATACATTATTGCTTCAAAATCAGATCCGCATTGGAACAGTCGGTCAAACAGAGCGATCAGGCCGAAAATATCCTCAAATTAAAGACGAGCGAGGACCCGATTGTGACGCAACTCCTCAGTTCATCGGAACAACCCGTGAAGGATCGTACACTGGATCACATGTTGCCGATGTTTATCATACCGAAGGACGATGGCGGTAATATCGAAATCGCACCGGATTCCTGGAGTCTAATAGAGCGCTACGACGTCGAAGAGTCAGGAACGTTGGTACCGTTTCAGAGTGACGGCGGAGATGTATTGTTCCAAGAACATTTCTAGAGTTTGAAAATAATGTGTTGTTTTAATAATAAACAAACCAACAAGTTAATGTATCCAGTACTTTCAACTCACTTATCCCTGAGACTATTGGTTCAAATGTACCCTTTGTTTAGCTTGAAACTGGTACAAATGAATAATGAATAGTGGGAATCAAAGATAAAAATGTTGAGAAGGTCCATTCAATATACGCATACGCGAGATATAAAATTTCGTTTTTAACAAATAACACTGCGGCATTCGACAAGCAACATGGCCGCTGACAGATCATCAATAAATTTTGAGGGGGTATTTTTAGGGCAGTATTTTCTCAAAATATGTCCAGACCAGAAAGTGGCAGGTTAGTGGGTGAAATGTGCATGCGCGGAAAATCATTTTCCCTTCTCTACCAAAATATTTCAAGGTAAATAACTTTGGATTATAGCCAGTTTTAATTATCTTGAAATTTCAGGTACACACTAATTAAGGAACTAGGGTATTTAGCATTAGACTTGCATTGCGTTGAGTTGACTTGCCTGCCAAACGAATATTATACAATACCAACTTAGATAATTTGTTAAAATAATTGAGACTCAAATTTAAACAGGTCGCAAAATGCCTTTGTTCGAAGTCATCCCAATTTTCGCAACAAAAAACTATAACTAAAATTCAGAGAAAATCATTGGTCCACACGAACAGATAGGGATAAATGTTGATCAAATGAGATACTTTGGACTGTTATCTTTATTATTAACTTCCTTAACGTTTCTCAACTGGTCCAGCATCTCCAGTCGTGTTCGGGTGAAGATTGAATAAATAAAACGTAATGTGCTGTGATTGATAATTTGCCGTTTGTTTTTCTTATGAAGGTACTAGAAATGCAATCCTATTGCTATACGATACAACGCTACATTAGATTCCACGCAACAGAAATCAAGTACCCGCTCCGCTCATGCCGAATCAAACTTATAAGTAAAGTAACGTTTATCAAACTTTTTGCATAATACCCCATTACCCTTTATTCCTCTTCTTTGAAACTGCCGGTATAAAGATTTCTGTGAACTAGCAGTTAAATCATCTCCTCAAATCCTTTAACCATGAGTTTTGAGTTGGTATTTGTTCAGTATATGTTCAACAGCTATTTTTGGTTTTTTGATGTGTTGGAGAACTTCGTCATTATTAACCCCCTTCATCCAGGAAATTCCCCTGTGGACATATATTTTCTATTTGTGGGTCCAACTTCCAACTTTCCTCAAACTAAGTTCTGGTCTTGTGAGGAATTTTTTCATATTCATTAGTGTTTTTCAGGCTTGTTTTACCTTGCAAGTATTTCTATCTGTTCCATTATCCGTCCCTTAATAAGCAGTTGCTTTGGTTTTGAAGATTTCGCTATGATTGACGGCCGAGTTTATTATTTTTTTTAGTTCTTGTTCGCTGCTTGCTATTTTGACAGTGTTATCAGAGTACCCAATATTGTCAATTGGTTTTTCATTAATTATGATTCCGCTCTGAATGTGTTTTGCTTTATATTAACCATTGCAGTTTGACTCCAATAAAGTTCTGATATGATACGTGAACTCCGGTTGTTTCTAGAAGTTCCATCATATTTGGGTGATCAATACAATCAAACGCTTTTCGATAGTCAACAAAGCATGCGTATACGTTTACGTTCATATTTCTGCACCTTTCACGCGTCCCCAGTCCGTTTCGCAAACCCCACTGAAGGTTGTCCAGTTGACATTTACACTTCTTGAAATAGTTTTTCCTTGGTGTTACGGATGTTTATCTTACCCAATTCGACGGTATTTTACCTGAGTTATATATTTTGTTAAATAGTGATATGATTCGGTCCATGTCGTTAAACTTATAGGAACCATTATAGGTAGTTTTTCCATTTTTTTGAGTTGCTATTGCGTGAATTTCTTCTACAGTTATTAAGTCGGTCATAACTTAAAAAATTCTTAGGTATCTTTAAGAGCTTAACACATCACACAAAATATATTGATTCGGTAAGCAATCAATTCATGTTGATAAAAGTGAGGACTATTTATTTCACATCATAAGACAGAAAATATAAAATTATCTGCACGAAACTCGTGCTTTCAACGCAAACTTACCTATTTTACTAGATTACAACATTTCGACCCAGTTTTTATCTCAAATTACATTGTAATTACATTGATGACATTTTTGAAAATTTCCCATTAACAAGAAAGACACCTAGCAGTCCACTTCGAAAAATAATTGTTTGAAAATACGATCTGGGGTGGTATATCTCCGAACGCGCCCCGGTATACTCCGTAAAGTAATCAATCAGCGTCCGGTAGATGGCGTGCGGGACGTCGGTCTATCACAGGCGAACGCGGTGCCGCCCGCCCGTCTTCGTAAATCATCGGCCGGCCCCGCAATCACCCGGCCTACTTCGTTCCGTTTCTCATCAATGCCGATTGATTTTTTTGATTAGCGCGAGACCGCCTTGGTGAGGGGCGCGGGGCGGCGCCCATAATTTCGCCGTGACGTGTAATTAAATTTACAGTCTGTGATAAATCAAAGACGATGCGGAGCACCGATAAGGCGAAGGGAATCGGGAGTTTATTTTATTCCGTGCAAGGGTGATTCGTTATTGTCGGTTGTTCACGGGGTGTATCGTTCAAGGTATCCATTCAAATTTAGTCAAACAGGGTGGCATTGGCTACATTTTTGTTAAACCAACTGCCAATCTACTGAAACGAAAAGATACACCTAACGAAATATTAAAGTACTTTTTAGCAAACTTCTGGATTCCTCCTGCGTCGGTTTTTGTTGACTCGAACTTGCTAACGTTTCGCCAATCATCCTGTTGGCTTCTTTAGAGCTTGACTGAAACTGGCTCGCATTTTACTCTGTACCTGCTTTTATATTGTTTTAGGAGAGCGACACGTTAGCTAGTTCGAGTCAACAAAAACCGACGCAGAAGGAATCCAGAAGACTCGCAAGTAAGTGGCGAGGTTGCATATCTCGGAAAGTAGTCGTAATTTTTAAAAGTAGTTGGAAATGCTGTAAATATTTTTTTCTGCTCCCGTCTGTAAAATACCTAATTATACACGGATCTAGCGTGCGAAAACCGTCACTTTACCACGTCAGTTTCATTTCCCATGGATCCGAGCCACTTCGGACATTTCCGGGATTTTACCGCACTGGTTTGGGAGCAATCGGATATTTTCGGATATATTTCCCACGCTTTGAATTTTGACGTTTGTTAATTTTGATGGTCATGTCAGTGAATGTATGCGTGTTACGAAAATGTACCCAAAAATTAACGGTCGTAGAAAAAGTATAGTATGCAACATGTTCGGTAATTTTTTTAAATCATTCGTTTATCAAACACTCGCTCCGCTTGTGTCAAATAAACTCGTGAGTTAAAGACAATAAAAATCATTTCCTATCGGATCGGAACTACATATAGGGATAATAAATATATAGGGTTAATAAAGATCTGTGTTCTCTATGGTTTACACCAGAGGACTTCCTATACAGAACGTTTAGCCATTTGTCAATCTTTATGATTCCACATAGGCGATGAGTGGTCTAATGGTCTCCCTTACTTCGGTATAGGATCTGTATAATTCCCCCAGCATGGTTTAACACCTAAACGAGACATTGCGGTCGTACGCAAGGGACTGCCTCGTCTTACTGCACACTCTGCACATTGCGACATATTGAAATCCAATCTGAGTTAGTATAAATAAGCAATGACCCGTCAAAATAAATGTGGCCATACGCAACTCGTTCCCTGCAATTCTTAGGTATCTTTGACTGTTATTTCGTTTGGCTAGCTTAATAGAATCCTCATTAGACAGTTTCCGACAGTGTTCAGTTCATTTTTTAAAATTATGAATTCGAAACTTTATCCTGAGTTTTGTTTTGAAATAACTAGGTGTTTCTTTTACCCCTGCGTGTGTAAAAGTTACGAAAACAAAAAAACGGTAGCGATTTTGCTCAAGTAATATTTATCTTCGTAGAAACTTAAAGTCTAGCAACGGCAGAGTATTTACGAGAACAGGTATTCGTTCGGCCATTTTGTCGACCATCTCGGTACCAGACGCACACATTCGCGTCAATGAGATCGCATTAGTAAAAGTCAGAAAAGGCATTCACGAATAAAAGCGGGCTGCGGTCGGGATGATTGACAGAACAAGTGAACGGCGGTATAACAATCGACGAATGAGAACGAGATAACACTCTGGCTCCGGGTTCGGTTATTTATGCGATGGCCGAGTAAGAAGAGGACCCCCCGCGGCTCTCTATTTATGAGCAGCCGCGCAGAGATAAATTTGTTATAACTAAATTTTCGACGATGGTAGGTAAGCCTACACACGTATACAGGAAAAAAACGGCGATCGGAAACGGCCGATAAATCTGCCCGTCCGGCAAGTCTTTGGTTTGAATGGCAGAAACATATGGTCGGTTTTAATAATATACCGGGTGGCCCAATAATAGCGAACTGTCGACGACTTCAAAACGAAAAAACGTTTTTTCCTGCATTAACCTGTAACAATTCAACCAACAAATTTCGAATATTGAACGAAAAATACAGGGAATGCGCGTTCTGGTTATCAGTATATAGCCGGTAAACGAAATGTAGGTTGCTGAAATTTTGCTGAATATAAGCACTGAGAAAAGAAATTTGCAACTAAATTTTAAAATTATTTTGCTTCATTCATATTTAGGCGCCAGAGAAGAGCTTTTCTGAAGTAGCTAAATTCCCTTTTTTTGTTTTCTTTGCTACAGTAACAAAGCGACATTTTAATAAGAATGACCTGCTTTCTAATAAATAAATAAATTTTGGCTTTTGGCAACTGTAGATTTTCTGTTTTAGATAGATAACTATTTTTGCTGATGGCAGTAAAATGATTTTGCTGCTACAGTCTGCATTTTGTTTTAATACAATTTGGCTATAAAGATAACTCCTACACGATAACATATTTATCCGTTTTTTTTAAAGAAAAACATGTCATAATTTTTAAAAAACGACTTTGGATTTTTAAAATGTGTTCCAGTCTCATATAAAATTGA